GACTGCATAGAAAGAAGATTGTTTTTCTTTCTAGTAATAGGTCTCCAAAACCGATTGGTCATCTTTGCCAAGAAATTGTTTCAGCCTAGGATCTAAAAAACGCGAAATAATCTGGGCCAGCGTGACTAACGAGGTAGTGCGAAAAATTCATGTGCGTGAAAACGCCCTCTTAGCACAATGTTTACACCTCGGGCGGGTGGGACTGTTTCGCGGTGTAAGTTGTTCAACCGGGGTTTGCTTGTAGGTTGGGCTCCTTCACAGGGAGCATATCAGGCCTTGCGTGCAAATGTTAATTTTCTGAGATGAGAAGTCACCCATTGACCGAACAGAACAAAGTATTGTTGCACGCTTGGAGGTTGATCTACTTCATATGGATCACACTGGGGTGGCTTAGAGATTAAGGACCTTATGGCCTTATTCCTGCTTCGAAGCTTGTTTCTGACTGCCGTAGCGTAGGCCGAGAACTATGGCAGTCCGTCGAACGGTAAATCCAAATTCTTTCTTTCAGATGGTAAGTATGATGAATTTAGACTTCGCGCCGGAAATTGGTAAACTTCACGCAGCGAAGAACCCATGCCGTTTACCAGTGTGGTTAGTAATGCCGCTTGTAAAGTGGCCCCACGATACCAACCACCTATTCAACTGTCCACTTCAACCCACTCAGCTAACACCCCTATCCCTTTGGTCCAAACGGGTCGAAAGAGCATGTTTACTGGACCTAAGCTTAGTTTAGCTTAACGACAACGATTGATAGACTAGCCGATCTAGGCTGCCGATCAAATAGTTAGAGATCCAACGCTACGTATTGATTTGTATTGTCTGCGATGCGATGTCCCCAATCAGGGTTGCATGGGTCCACTAACGAAAATTTTTGTCAGTTCGAGCGCCCTGGGGACGCTATGTTGGAGGCCATTATTTGAGCAATGATAACATATAGAGCTATGATGCTATACATTTTTTCGAACCCATACTGATTTGAAGTCGGACGTTTGTGAATTGTGGGTGGGGTGAGGAATTGAGTGTCTTGGCCCCGGAAGTCACATTGCACTGTTTCCAGATCTCTAGGATGATGCGCGTAAGCTAAGAACAGGTTAAGAAGTGTTAAGCATGGAAATCCATCTGGGCCAGTGAATTTCGACGAGTTGGCTTTGGTTTAGTGCCTCTTCTAGGATGGGAATGTGGATGGTGAAAATGGTTCTGTAATCAGATCATCCTGGTCTTATCGACTTTCACGAGGAAGTGCAAGGAGTACTTACACGAGCATGGACACATCTAGGTCCTCCCACAATCTAGCCGAGATTGAATAAGGACCGCTTGCTCACATGGTAAATTCTTGCTTCTAATCAACAGATGTGTGAGATTATAAGGGATTCTACTGCCTAATATATACATAATGAGAATTTTTCACGTACGTACGGCTACAGAATGCTTAACATTCATTCATATTATCTATGGAGATTGAACCATTTATTTGCTGCTTTACAAACCAACATCAGCTGTGTAAATTAATTGTTACGCTGCGAAACGGCAGGCAGTCTACACCAGTCATTCTTGCTTACATAACTCTACGCACTCACGTTTAACGATCTACCATCGGCGAGCTTGCTTTGCATGTCAAAAACACACACAAAAATAAGATAACGTACATACACACGCATTTACATGCATACATATGTATGTATGTATATCCTTCTAAAGAATTGGAAATTATTAAATTTCATTCTTTGCCTCAACGCAATTTAAAACTACTCACCACCCACCACCCACCACTACAGCGCGCCACAATCCAAAACTTGATGCTTTCGCTGGCGGCAGTGTTTCCACTCAACTGCTACTAACTGCTGTTCTTGACAGTACTTTAACGATAATTTAATGGTTCGCTGTCGCGTTACGCCACCAGAAAAGGAGCACGAAGCACGGAACCTTGGAAGATGCGGCGATTGTTTGTGGCGGTGCGTTGGCGGTTCCGCAGTACAAAGGCGCCAAGGTGGTGGTTATCTGTCTCGAATTATGAAAAAACGTTGCATGGTTGTGAGCCGCAAGGAGACGTACTTACTCAACCTTAGACGAGAGCAGGAGTGCGTAGCTCAGGCGTAGCTAAATGCACGTGTATGTGTGCTTGTGTGTGTGGTGTTGTGAGCCAGAAACTTGAAGCGGCACTGCAGCCATTAAAGTACACCGCAATTGCAGTTTGTAACCAGTTGAATGTTAACAACGTGTCAATAAATAAAATAAAATAAAATAAAATGAAATAAATGCAGTGTCTGCGTCCTTTTCGTTTCGCTCGTTCGCAGGCTTTTACATAACTTTTCGTTTGCATTTGCCTTAGTTGTTGTTGTTTGTGTTTTAAGATGTTTTTTATTAAATTATAACTTGGTGACCTAATTCAATTATGACTGGAATTTGTTGTTGTTTGCTTTCTTATTAAAATCTGTTAAAAGTTTTAAGCTTGCACACGAAAGAATTAAAAAAAAAAAATTGTAGTGAGCTTATAGGCGCATGAGACATGTATTAGGACGAACTAAGTTTTTTAATATTTATTATTCGTATACTTTTTTACTATGTTTGTATGTATTCAAGTTCCAGTTTGCTAGTCGAATAAAACATAGATTCTGTGCGTCAAAGTTATGCGTACTAAAGCAATAGCCATATAAAAGCCTTCGTATTAAAATATCCGGCTGATTTGTAGTTTCCAAGATTTAAGAGCTCATTATTAGCTTCAAGCTATTATGTTGATTCAGGCTTGGGTGATTCACAACTAAGATATTGTATTATATTGTACACTCAGTTGCATAACTTTAAGATTTAAGATTTTTCATATTATTTAATTTCAATTATTGTCTAATAAAAAGTATAGTTCATTCTATAACAAACACCATGCAAATCTACATTTCCATTTTTTTGTAAAAAATATAGAAATTCAGCGAATTTTCACAAATATTTTACACTTTTTTTGAAGAATTTTTGGCAAAGTTTTTCGTATGCAGTAAATTGTAAAATAGTGCATTAAAGGGTTTATATGAGCAAATCTCACGAGCTGTTTTTTAGAGCCACTCCCTTCTCTCCAGAAACAAGTACAACAAAAAATAAATCAATTATTTCAACAATTTTAGCCTTAAAACGTTTATTTAGGCGAAAAAGTGTCGAGATTACAAATTTTTTCTTTGTCACTCGAAAAAATCATAATAATTCTTTTTTTATTATAACTTTGGGAAGTTTTCAAATAAAATGTTCATATTAGAGGCAATTGAAGTTGGTATCATATACAACGTACATGTAAAGTTTCAAGAGTGTGCCACCCAATTAAAAAAAAAAATGGTAGAATTCAGAATGAAAGTTTAAGTTACTTCAAAATTTTTACATTAAACGGTGAAGATGTTCTTGCCAAAACGAATAATCTAGAGTAGGGCTGTGCTGTTATTTGATTGTTCAAAATTTTAATTAACCATAAAGTAAATAATTATTGGATTACTCGAGCAATTTAGTTAATCAGTTATTCGGGTAATCAATTACTCGAATAATCAATGATTAAAATATGATTATTAAAAAAATTAATTTTGCTCGCTAAAAGAGTTTTCTTTGGAAGTTGCTTATTTACTTTTTTACAATCTGTATATGAAAAAAAAATTATTAATTTTGATTTTTGATAACAGAAACGTTTTCAAAGTATCAAGGAACTTCAACTACTTTATATGTTAAGAGTACTTTGAAATGTTGATTTCTAATATTACTCATAATGTTGAATAGTCTTAAAGCAAATTACTCAAATATTTTTGATTTTGGTTAGCCAAAATCGTGATTACTCGAGTAACTGAACTTTTGAGTAATCGAGTAATCATAATTTTCAACTAATCGAATAATTGAGTTATTTAATTTAGGATTAATTAAAATTTTGAATAATCAATTAATCGCACAGCCCTAATAAACATATATGTATGTATATTCGTCAAGAATATTGTAGAAAAATATTCCATGCCAATATCTAACTATTTTTGAATAATATGACTTTTAAATGAAGGCGTTCGACTAAACGTGTTAAGCTAGGCACTAACAGCGAACACATCCGTCTGATTTGCCCGCGCAGCATTTCGCACAAATCAGATCGCACTTGAACTTCGGCGTGTAAGCATGAGCGATAAAGTGGATGATGCGGTTGCGTGTTTTATTATTTATGCATGAAAAATAAAAATAAAAAAGCATATCAACGAAGAAAGGGTACGTGTGAATCATGGTGGAATTATACAAGGTGTTGTACGTAGTGACAGCTCATGTCGACAGCTCCCTTACAAAAGGTTGTAATATGGAAGCACGAGAGAAACGGGAAGAAAAAAAGCCCGCTTTGCGAAGTAGTACGAAATTTGGTACTATTTTTCATATAAAATTTTGCATATAAATAGTTACAAACGGTATATTATGATAAGCTAAATTCGCGAAAGTAGTATATATAACGTAGTACTTATGCAATAAATGGTAATTTAGTTTATTAAACACAATGTCCTATAATTATAGTCAAACTTCCAAAACCAAAAAATTAGTGGTGACCCCGAGTCGTTACAACATGACGGAATCGACAAAAGGGCGAATCGACGGATGGGGAGAATATTTCATCGAACAAAATGCCAACTAAAGATGTGGAGCTTGCATCGCAATGCAAGCTGCGACCGTTCTGAACTGAGATGACAGACAAATGGTTTCTACAAATTGAGGCCACCTTTCAGTCGTACAAGACCACATCTTATGTCGGTAAATACAATCTGGTTTTCTCAGCAATTAGCAGCGATGCTTTAAAGGAAGCTGCGGATTTTTTAAAAACCTTACCAACTCAAGACCGATATATTAACCTCAAAAGTCAACTACTGTCACGTTTTACTGATTCAGCCGACCCACATAGGGTATTTGGCTGATTTAGGCATATTTTTATCGCTACAAACATCAAATATAGTTTTAGTTATCGAATAAAACATTCACTATAACTACCCTGTTACTAATAGAAAATTCAATCGTAGTGAAATCTTATTTATTGTCAATATTATTGTGGCTTATTAACATTTGTTTCCATATTGTTATTGAGCTTTGTAGCACTATTATGTTTTTAGGGAAAAGGGAAAAAGCAACAAAGTCTTAGCGGTAGAAGTTACCAAAAAAACAGTTATATCGTTGGAAAAGCAGGGCCAGAGGCAGTGAACCACAGACGGGATTGCAGCAGCAAAAATCACTGGGGAATAGATGCATAGTTAAATACGTAGTTCTTGTTTAAATCTTCCATCTAAACTTACCAAGAAAACAGTTATATCGTTGAAAAAGCAAGGCCAGTGGCAGTGAACCACAGACGGAATTGCAGCGGAAGGAAGCACCGACCAAAATAACTACAAATCCTTGGGGAGAACTCTAAACCGATGTTTTTTTGCCGAATTAATGTTGAAATTTCTAATTTAATTTTCAGTTGCCAACGATAAGAATAGAGTAAATGTCAAAGAATTGTTCAGTGATTGCAAATCGGTTTTGGAATAGGGAATTAGGTAGTTTAGTACTTTTTTAAAGGCGATAAAATGTAGTTTTTTCAAGAGGGAAACACTGATATAGCTAAGGGAGCCAAGATGGCGGATTACAGCGAGAACGCTGTCAATATCCAACACCTTGTATTATTCCACCATGCGTGTGAATTGTTTTTAAATAGAAAAGAAAAACAATATTATTATTCTGTAGATGACAAGAGAGAAGCAGAAGCATTGTTGTGCTCCGTTTGCTCATTGCTAAGTAGAATATCTTTCTCCGCTTTATACATACAAAGCATCTGGATATGAAGAGCCTTGAAAGAATGCGAAAACAAATATGTACTACACCCTCCGCGACAAAAGATAGCACATCAACATTTTTACCAGTTATGACTAAATTTCTTTTGCTAATTTTAAGGTTCATTATTTGTATGTGAATTATAGCTCTTTATCTAACAAATACCATATAAATCTAAATTTCAGACTTTGTACAAAAATTATAAAAATTCCACAAACTTTTCATCCCAATTCCATGCAATTTAATTTTAATTTCTACACCTTTTCCAAGAGTACTTCAGAATGCGTCAAATGTATTTCAGAAACTGTAAAATGTACTTCAGGAAACGTAAAATGTACATACTTAAGAATGGTCAATTGTACTTCAGAAACCGTAAAATATACTTCAGGATAGTCAATTTTACTTCGCGAACTGCGCCACTAACAGTCGAACAAATCCAAAGAGTTTGAAAATTTTCAAATCCGTCTGATTTGTTCGCGCACCACGCTACTAACGAGAAAAATTATACCGAACACGAACAAGTCAGGCGGATTTGTTCGTTGTTAGTGCCAGCTTCAGCTCACTGTTTATGGTGCTACGGGGCGTATACGTTACATACACAACTACGGGTATATGAGCACGCGTTCTGATTTTTATAAGCTTTTATTTAACTTGGTCATCCCGCGGAAATCGCGGAAATTTCCAATCGATTTTAGACTAACTTCCCGACAAGTTAGAGACTTGAAATTTTCAACATAGTTCCAATCACGATGACAATGCAATTTAAAATATAAATGAATTCCCTATATGGTCCAGGGGTCTTGATTCAAAGGCGGTCAAAAAATAGTAAGATTTATGGCTAACAGAGCGTAATTTGCCAAAGAACGTAAAACCACTATAAAATTATTAAAGCTGCTGGCGGTAGTGTTGCAAAGCTATTTGTGGCAAATTCTAGATATCAAACTAGTCTAGATACGAACCTCGTTGTAGGCATCATATCAAGGAAATACAATTAGAGGACTCCAGATGTCGCCCCGCCAGAAGAAGTTAAATATTGCGCCTAAATATATGCACCATTTATAAGCGCTACAGCGGAAATGGACGACACGCCATTTCTTTAAATTAAATTAACTGCTGCTATATGCACATACATATGTATGTTTATACAAAACGTAAGCAAACAACATTTTGCTTGCATAGTCTTCTGTTCTCTTTCATTGCAAGTTGAATTATTTTAATATCTATTGCAAAATTTTGTACATAAAATAAAATAACACTTTTTAATATACAACGCTTTTATAAATGGACTAAAAATTAGAAAATAAAATAAGGTAAAAAAATATTTTTTAAAAACAAGCTTTTATTTAACATGTACAATCAAAGGAATAAAATAAAGTAGTGTAACAAAAGATTTTTTAACCAAGAAAATTGTGACAAAACTGCACTAAGATGAATAAAATAAAATAAGTTAGGGCCTCGTTAATGGTACTAAAAGCCATTTAGTGTAAGGAGTTATTCAAACTCTAATGAAAATTATTAACAATTTGTACGAATTTACTTCGTTTTAAAAAAAATAATTAAATAAAGATTGGTCAAAATCCAACCCGGATACAACTAGCATAGAAGGCATTAGCGCACATAAGGGGTGGGTTTTGGTGTTCAAATGCAAATGAAAACATTGTCCTAAAAATGAGCCTAAAAGAGTTTACCACTGATAAGTACTAAAGTAACAAGGATTCGAAGGTTTAATTTGCCAACTTTGAATTCGTTCCACCAAAATTAGCTATGTACATGCATGTTTTATTTCCACATGGTTTCAAAGAAATATAAACAAAAAAGATTGGTTTTGATTTTAAAAAGTTATTCTGCTTATCAAGTTTATACATATACTCAAAATTTTAGAACTACGAGTTTTTACCTGTGGGATAGTCACAACGCTAAAGCTTGAAAAAAACTAATTATGTGACAACTAATTTCAAGAACTTAGAGGCCTGCAAGAAAGTCAGTTTTAACGATTTTCATGAAAAAAAAACGAAATTAATCATTTTAAAACTAATTTTTTACTTAAAAAATATAGTTTAAAAAAACTAAAAAATAGAAATACAAGTTCAGTAATTTTTTCGGTGTTCGAAATATTAAAAAAAAATAGGCGATCGTGAAAAATTATCACCTCCATCGAAAATCAGCACCAGGATACCAGCATTTGCTGTCACTAATTTTGATCACCAAAACTCTCCAAAAGAATAGCAGGTACGCCTAACAACACGCAACATCTAGTTATATGCCCCTCATACTGCCAAATTTGGTTGATAACACGTTACAGGTTTGACTTTTTCATTAAGTACACCTTTGGGCCCACTGCTTTTCATTTAGAGAATTTTGTCGACGAAAATTAAGCGTAACGATTGTCACAATTCCACTACGAAAATAGAAATCGAGGAAAATGAACATTTAAACTTCTTTTTGGTTATTGTTGTTTCCGACAGGGTGGGTGTATGATGTATTTTGGAACAAATTTCCGTCATCCGTTGTCAAATTTGGGATGACGGAAATTCGTTGCAAAATACTTCAAACATTAAAACTCTTTTTTAACTTTTCTTATTACTTTGATAGTTGAGCGCATCTTGTGTTTATATTAGAACTATAGAACTCACAACCGTCTTCAATTCTCATGTACAAATTTAGGAATAGCGTTAATTGTATCATGATCCAATGAAAGGGATCTAAAACAAATTAAGGGACGACCCTTGAGGTACCATCTTTCCGATAAAAAAAAAGAATTGTTGAAATCGGTTAACGTGGTCCAAAGTTATGCGGTAGCATACATAAAAAAATTAAATATATTCCGACGAATTGATAACCTCCTCCTGTTTGGAAGCCGGTTAAAAATGTTTGAGTTCTTTTTGTTAATTTTATGTAAATAAAGTGCAGTTTATAAAACTTTAAAAAGTTTAATTACTTATTTATTACATACTGTACATAAAACTTGCGTAAATGTATTTTAAGTAGCACATTATCTAAAGCGAATTTTCAGAAGTAGGTATAAACCCGTTAACCGATTTCTATAGTTCTTTTTTTTAAGGAAAGGTGTTACCTCACAGGACACCAATTCGGTTTAAATCCGATCATTGGATCATGAAGAAATTAACGATAATCTTAAGTTTGTATTTTAGAATTGGAGTCGGTTTTGTTTTTGGTTTAAAAATTACTTGTGTATAATAAACTTTACGTTTTAGAAACATGTTAATTTTGATGCGAACTCTCACAAAATATATGAAAGCCATGCATTCTATGAAGTATTGAGCTTCGCACTACAACTATTGCACTTAATCTGTAGCAGGCCTATCATCAATTCCATCGGAGATCATGACGTTGTCACTATCATGAATTCCGTCGTGATCACGAAATTCTCCCGCAAATTCGAAATTCGTGAGAATCGTATTACTGATTTCGAGTTATTTTATTTTGATTTAGAATTAATAACCATAAACAAACAAAAACCAAAACCAGCTCTGTCTACGAATGCGTCGGAATTGCTGATAGCATTTCTCCCGAATTCATGACGGGAGATTTTTCCACGACGGGAGTTCACTCGGCGCAGTAGTAAAGACAATAGTCAGCCGCTATTTTTTAATTGGCATGGGATTAGGGCCGCAGGTTTTGTTGTGCACTAGTATTCTAATAAATAGAAATATTTTATGTACATATTAGGGCTGTGCGATTAATTGATTACTCAAAATTTTAATTAATCATAAAGTAAATAACTCACTTATTCGATTAATTGGAAATTATGATTACTCAAAAGTTCAGTTACTCGAGTAATCAAGATTTTTGATTAACCAAAAACAAAAATATTTGAGTAAAATGCTTTATGATTAATCAACATTTCGAGTAAAATGAGTAATCAACATTTCAACTCTTTACATATGTATAAAGTAGTGTTCGTACCCACTGGGAAAATAGGTAAGCACCTTACGAGGTAAGCCATGTTTTCTTTCAGTTTTTAGTACCAAAATTGTCATCATGACCAGCGTAATCTACTAGTAAAGCACAAAATGAACACCTCCGGCGACACATTACGTTGTCAGTTGCAAAATAACGTGCAGCCGAAGTTATTTCCAAGCACCGAACTACTCCGAGCGACTGCTCTGCATTACACGTAACTTACTTTGTAAAGCGACTCAGAAGTATGTTTGATAGCAAATGTACATTCTAAATTCCTACTTACATAAGGCGGCCATGCCTTTGTAAAAGTAAGGGACGTTCGGCAGGGAAATGGTAATGACTGCCAGGTGAAGAGTAAGTTGCTAATAAGGTATTATTACGTGCTCCTAATTCCCACTGGG